CAAGTTTCAGATTGAGGAGGTCTGGGGAGGGGCCTGAGAATGTGCATTTCTAACAAGTTCTCAGGAGATGCTGCTGGTCCTGGGACCCCACTTTGAGAAATATTGGCCTCGACAGTAAGAAGTGAAACAGTATGAGGGCCGAATTAAGTAAACGCAGCCCAGAGCATCCCTAAGTGGTACAGACACTTTTCTTTTGCAAAGTGCTACTGCTCCATTTGTTAAATTCTTAACAAGAGCTTGTTTTCCGATGATCTCTTGCTCTCTCTGGAACAGTGGGTACACAGGGGAAAAACCTCAGCAAATTGAGGGTTATGGAAAATTAAATTCTAGCTTAACCGAAATAGTCTCCTGCTTAGCAAAATGAAGTCTCCTAAATACTTGACTTTCTCTTCACCCCCACATGTTCCGGGAACAGATGAAATTGCTAGGCAGCACCGAGGACTTGTGAGCAAGTGGCCAGACTTCCTGCTGCCCCTGCACCCACCTTCAGGTCACATGTGACCGCTGGTGGAGTGGAAGAACGGAATTCCTGGTTGTCACAAGGGGGGTGACCCTCATCTCCCCGTGGCATCGCTCACAATCAGACTGAATACCTCTACCTCCTCCAGAAACTTCCCTGGGCTCGAACCCCACCTCACAAGGACACATGGACAGACGCCCTCTGCCTTGGATCTGCCCCCGGCACGCCTCAGCACTCTGATCATGTCTTATCTGGTACTTGAATATCTGCTTCCACTCACATCTTCCTCCCAGCCTGCAACCAGCCTGACTGCATCTCATTCATCTTGGTAGCCCCTATCTCTCCAGAGACTATCTTTCCCCAAGCAGTCCTGTTCATAAGTACTTAGAAGCTTCCATATACTACTTTCTGGTTTGGAAACTATAGGCACCACCCCATACCCCAGAAACTTGGAACTGACTGTCGTCTGAACAAATACTCTAAGCTACAAATCCTTTCCTCCTGCTTGGCAGCGCCCAGAGCAAACAACCGTGTCCTGGCAGGCTTGTCCCCAAGGACCCAGGAAGCCTCCCACCTGGATGGGGGCCTCTGATGCTGCGTGTGTGCCAGGGACCAGCTGGGGGAGGGAGGGAAGAGGCCCCTGACCTGGGCTACTTCCTGTTCATCTGAACCTGGCTCAGACCTGCAGGCTCGGGGGGTGTGGCCAAAGGCAGAGAAAATAGTAAGACAGGAGGAAGGACTTCCAGACTGAGAGCACAGGCCGTGCAGGGTGGGTGAAGTGGGATGGGGTGGGGATAAACAGTCAGGTGGCATTGAACCTGTCATCCACCTGGCTCCACACTCAGGTGAGCGGGGAGCTCATCCCCTCGTCTGGGGCCTTACTGCACATCCTCACTCCAACCGACAACCAGTCACCAAGAGAATGCAGGCAGTGCTGACCACGAGGGACAGAGACATGGTGGGGAGGAGAGGGGAGAAGAATGTATAGTGTGGCTGGGGGACATGCTGCAAGGGGACAAGTGGCTCGGCTGGCCGAGACCAGACCCCAAATCTCTGCGCAACAACTCACGGAGTGGCTTTCGGTAATTTTACATCATGACCCACAGTAAGAAATGCATTTTTACATCATGACCCAGTATATATATCTGTGTGTGTACATAACAAAACTGAAATAAAAAGTCACAAAGCAGGATCTACCACGCTACACGTGATGTCCTCCGTCACCAGCTGGTCTTGACCTACTCATTTGACGTGACAACACATGAGTGGGTCATAGCTGGCACCTTGAAATGATCTGCCCGATTGTGTCTCAGTCATTTCAGAGGGCCTTCGAGGCTTTGGAATTCCTGCTCTGCACAGTGCTCCCAACCAACTGAGTGCCTGCCGTACGCCAGACACTATGCTCAATGGCGGGTGGGGGTGGGGAGCAGGGTGGCTCCAGAGATGAGAGGACATGGAGACATCACACACATAGACCAGAGGACTGTCTGTATAGGGTGGCAGCAATGAGCCCATCACGTGCTACCCAGATATATGACTTGAGGGCACTCAGCCACTGGTGAGCACCAGGGACAGGCACCACACCTCCCAGCAGTTGGCATCAGAAAGCAGACAGAAGTGTCCCTGTCTCTCCCAGCTTACATGCCCTGTTGAGGTCCCATCCCTTCTCCCCTCCATGGATTGAAGCCCTCTCTCCTTTCCCCACATCGTGGCCCAGGGAGTGGAGGAAGATCGGGTGGCAGTACTATTCATAAAGAAGATGATGGAGTTTACCTTGGCAGCTCCCAGGAGGCTGCAAGCCTCCAGGTCTTCCTGGGGCAGGCCTGATGCATCCTCTGGGGAGGTCCCTTCGGAGGGAGTCTCCTGACGCACTTGGGGGCTCGTGTTCAGAGCCACCTGTTCTCTACTTACTGAACCAAAGCTTTAAGAGAATTCATGCATCTCAAATTTATTTCTCAAAAAAATAAAATTTTCCAGCACTCTCAGGCCTCCGAAGGGGAAAAAGAGCCCCTCTTCAGGCATCCTAAGCTCCTACTACAATTATCCCAGTGAGATCCTGCAGGAGATCAGCTACACCAGCCAGCAGTGCAAAGCTATTTCCATAATGAAGGACTGTGCAGCCCTCGCCTTCTCCATTGTGATCACAGCCCTCCTCCCTCCAACCTGGCGATGGAGGCTGTGGCCTGGCCCTTCCCTGTAGCCATCCAAGTAACAAGGATGGATCAGGGTGAGGCAGAAAACAGAAGCGAGGAGACTCCGGCATGTGCCCCTTCTCTCCATCTGGAGGGGGGAAGAACACCCAAGGCCTCCCGCAGTGGAGGGGCCCTGGGATCAGCAGAGCACCTCTGGGAGCCACTGGGCACTTGGGCAGAAGCAGGAGCCCCTGCTGGACAGGGACAGTCCCCGGCATCTCCATAGCCTCCAGGCCTGGCCCAGGCTGGGCAGCAGCGGGCTCCGCTACAGGTGGAGTTGACTGGGAAACACATCCCAGCGGCTGACTCTCTTTTACCTGGCCAGGTGTGTGATAGGACTTGGCGTGAAGGCTGGGGAATCTCTTAGAGCCTCAGTTTCTACATCTGTCAAGTGGGGACAAGCACCCTGCTGCCTTGGGCCTGCGCATGAGCATTCTTGGTAAACTGTAAGATGCTTCCACGTGTAGTTATTACTGTCACTCTGCAGAAAGGCAGAGCGATGTACACAAGAGAATGAGTAAAAATCGCCGATCTTTGCTCTGGAGGCTGTTGCTACTGAGGGATGTCGTCAGCCTTGTGGGAGGGGAAGGATTAGGGGATCTATGCCACCCCATACGGCCCGCTTTGGGTAAAGTTACTTCTTGTACTGCAGCCAGCCCACTCGCCTGCTCCCCTGCCTGGGGAAAGGCCACCCTCTGGGGTGCGGGAAGGCTGAGAAGCAGCTGAGGCTCAGAGAGGTGATGTGAGTCTTCCAAGGCTGCAGTGAGGACGTGGGCAAGCCAATAGCCAGTGCTTGTCCTGACCCGCCTGCCTGCAGCTACATGCCCGGCTCTGGTCTCGGCATCGGCCCGTAGTAGCCCCTGCTTGGTTACTGCCCCATTTGGACAAGCAGCAGAAGGAAGTGGAGGCATCATGAAGGCCTCAAAGAATAAGAGGCAGAGGAGGAAGGACCCCGCAAAGAGGGCCAGGGATGCCTGGAATGAAGGGTACAAAGGGCTCAGGGCACGACCTCAGTGGTCAGGAGAGTGCAGGAGGGACAAGGCACTTCTGGGCATGTCCCTTCCACTTAGAGACAGCAGAGAGGCCCAAGCGACCAGGGGGCCTAACCCAGGGGCAAGCTACTCACAGATCCTGGTCTTGGGAGGGCAAGACTGAACCAGAGCCCAGCCCCAGGGCCTTCCCAGAGGCCAGGCAAGGGAACCCCAGCCGAGGCACAGGACTAAGTTCTGGAATCATGTATTCTCGTCCTGGCACTTCTGCAGTCTCACTGTGCAACCTGATGCTCTCTCATAACCTCTCTGAGCCTTGGTTTACTTAACTGTGAAAGAATGGTCCCAGAACCTCAGAGGTTAGCTGGTCCCATCTCCCACTCAGCCAGGGCTCAAGTCCTGCCGACAGCATCCCTGATAGGCGGGATGCTCTCCCCGCCCGAGGCAGGCCATTCTGTCAAGCAGCTGCAAACCACTAGAGAGCCCTTGCTTTTAATCAAGTGACATAATGGCTGTGAAAGGGCTTACGAAAATAAAAGCATAACTGAAGCAGGTTATTATTAACCTCATCAACATTAGAGGTGTTGTGAGAGAGGGTGAAATGGGGCTGGAGATAGGCTTCCTGAGCACATCAAGGCAGCTGAATGAGGGAGCCAAGGAGGAGGGGCACGGAGGGACCCTGGTGAGTGCCGCGTTCTCTCCAGGGAGATGAGACAGCAGCTGGAGAGGATGCTCAGGTCCTGATGAGACCAAGAGGTACATAACTGATGCAAAAGAAGGAAGGGACCACTCCTCCACCTCAGCAGAAAGCACATCTTAGACCTGGGGCGGAAGACCCTCTGGTTCCCTGGGCGGAGCATACTTATCCTGGAAGGCATAGAGAGGCTGTTCCAAACATGTTTGCCTAGCGGCCCCTGCTTAGTAATGGTGACAAGCTCACTGTGAAGGCCGGGAAGGGCGAGCCAGGGACACAGGTAGGAGTAAATGTATAGAGGATCCTAGCTGCAGGGTCTTAGAGGCAGCCTAGGCTGGCAGATGGAGACCCAGAGAGAGACAGCTTGCGGCCCAAGGTGGCCCAGCTAGTCCAGGGCTGCACGGTGGGGAAAGCCGAGGCCTTCTACCTGCCAGGGGAAAGCAAGTGTGCAACCCAGTCCCCTGTGCCCAGCAGGCAGGAGGGCCTCATAACGGTTACCTCCCCAGGCCCAGTGCCCTGTACTCAGGCCATCCTTGCCCTCGTGTCTGTGCCAGTCTGACTCCAGAGCCCCATGCCTTGTGCCCCGTGAGTCTCGCTCAGGAAGGGGAGCTCGGAGGGAGGAACTGCAGACAGAGGCAGGGGCCCAACGGGCTGGGTCCACTCACCCACGATCTCGTTCTCCTCCAGATTGATGGTCTCCAGGGCAGGCAGGGTGGTGAGCTGCTCGGGGAAGTCATGGAACTGGTTCCGGGACAAGTCGATGGCCTTGAGGTGCTGCAGGGCGCTGACCTCGCTGGGGAGACGGTGCAGGAAGTTCCCTTCCAGGTGGAGCTCTGCCGTAGCGGGGGGAAGAGAAGGAAAGATGACGAGGGGAGCAACCTAGAGACCACAGTGACCGCCAGCTGTGGCTCTCACCCCTGCCTGGGCCAGGAAGGCAGTGAGGAAGCCCCTGGCCACAAAGGAAGTCCCCCCAAGGGGCTGACTGCGTGTTTATGCAAGAGGAGTAGTAACTCCCACCACGCTCCGGTCATGCCAGCGGGGCTCCCTGCTTCTGGCTTTGGAACAGAAGGCTCTCCGGATAGAAGCCTGGGCCTAGCAGAAGGGTCAGGACGTGCTGGCTCCTCCCTCGGATGAGGCCTCAACTCCGGGCCTTGATGGGACAGGTCAGGATGTGCAGCCTCTGGGCTCCCCACACGCCACAGCCCCTTCGAGGGACATCACTTTACACAGCCCTCTCTGCTCAAGGAGCCACCAGGGCAGCCAAGTTCTGTGTCACGTGACCCTGCTTCCCTGCCCAGCCACAGGAGCCCTAGAGCAGCTGCTCCAAAAGCTGACCAGTGACCTACGCAGGGACCTGTGTGAGGAGGTGAGCCGGGCAGGTGGGAGTCTCTCTGTTGGGAACCTGGCCGAGGCAGTGCTGGGCGTGGTGGAGGCTGAAGCCGAAATGCTGCATTCCACAGAGCTGGGGCGCCCGCAGGGGCCCTGTGTAAGGAGAAGAGATGAGGGGCAGAAACCAAGAGTCAATGTGGGGGGTGGAGAGGTAGCATAATGCAGGGCTTCAGGGTCGGGGATCTGGGGCCCCCACTGCCTGGTTTAAACCCTAACTGTGCCACCTACAAGTTCTTCACTCAGATCGTTATTTACCCCGTTAGGTCTCAGTTTCCTCATCTGTAGAAAGGGACTGATACTAATTCCCACCTCACAGGGTTGTTGAGGGTGACATCTGTGAACCCGGGTGAGGCACTGGGCCCGGTGCTGGTACACAGTGACCATTCACACACGCCACTGTTATTACTACAGCCTGGGGCTGCTGTGAAGATCAGATGTATGCAAAGTGCTTTGCACAGTGTCTGGCACACAGTAGGTGCTCAATAAACGTTAGGGAGGAACCTGAGGAAGCAGAGGATGCAGGAGACTGGGGGAGGCAGAAAAGCAGAATTGTCATGAGAGCATACACAGGGGCCTCGGTTTCTGCTGGTTCCCCATGCCCTGTCTACACGTGACCCCACATGAGCCCTCCCGTCACACTACTCAGGCGAGCCGCCCGCCCTGTCTGCCCTAAAGGAAACTGGGGGCCAGAAATGCCAAGTGACCTGAGGACCGACCTCAGCTCTCCTCCCCAGGGCCGGCTTCGTGAGCAGGCGACCAGTGCAGTAGCACAGGGCCCCAGGCTTGGAAGGGCTCACACTCGGGGTTGAATGTTCTGTGCTGCCATCTTGATAATTTTATCCTCGAATCTGTGTTTTGTAAGCAGAGCCGGAGTCATGGAGTCTCAGCTCCCATGTGGTCCTGCCCCACACCACCTCCCAGGATGGGTTCTCGGCAGCCTGCTCTCCTGCCGTCTGGTGCCTCAGGGTAACACTGGCCTCTCCCTCCTCGCCCCTGCTCTGCCACTGTTGCAGCCCTCCATCCCCGGGAGGGGCCCGGGCACAGGGAGGGTCAGTTGGGCACGTGTGCCCATCACGTCTCAGAGCGGAGCCCGGTGGCAGCCATTCCCTGCCCCCTGCAACCCCAGCCCCTGGGCTGGCAGCGTCAAAGAGTGTCTGGTGGGCGGCAGCTGGAGGCTGAGTCTTGGCAGGAGGGAGCCTCTTGCCTGCCCCCGACCCAGATCCTGAGCATGTCCTGAGGCAGAGGTTTAAAGACCCTCGGATGCCCAGCTGGACCTCCCCAGGTCCCACCCCTGGCCAGGGTGAAGTGTAGGGGTCCAGCATGTGGTGGGAGCTGTCAGGCCTGAGGGTATGTGCACGTGTGCCCTGCATCGTGGGGGGCACTTGTGAGAGCCTGCACTTCCTCTCTGCCTCCTTCCAACCTTCCTGAGTCTGGCCTGAGTTTGTCCTTCGGGCCCACTCGAGGCACCCTCTGGAAACAAGCCACAAAATACAAATGGTGTAATTTCATGATTCTATATATGCGTTAAATGCTCTTATATTTGCATTTAAAACTGGCATTGTACATTATAAAGATGAATGGTAAAATTCTCACTAATAAAGTTTTAATTTTTCCTTATTTAGAAGGACATGAAATAGAAATGAAAAGCACCATGACACAATAAGAGAGAGACGTTGGAAGAAAGGAAAAAGACTTCTTTGTACCTTTAATGGCACTTTTCTCCTGCTGTTTAAAAGAGAGAACTCTATTTTCATTTTGCGCTGGGCCCCACCTATTACGTAGCTGGCCCTGCTCCTCTCTCTGTGCTCCATGCTCCATAGCTCCATGATGCAGCCCTGGGTTGTGGGGGATGAGCCTCTCTGAGGTCCGGACAGCACCTCCCAGGGTTCCGCAGTGAGAGCAGAGCCCCGCCACAAGGGCCCTCTGGTCCCACACACACCTGAGTCACTGTGGGCCCCTCACTCCCCCCGCTGGGGCTCTGGCGGATGGGAACTGTATCTGATTCAACTCTGTTCCCTACATCCAGCCCCCTGAGGGGCACCCTGTGGTTACTCAGCAAATATTTGATGAATGATGACTCTTCTCCCCACAGGGGAGACAGCACAGGGGGCCTGGCCTGCCTCTCATTTTCCCACCTCCAGGGACATCCTGAACACAAGCTTCCATCAGCAGACCCAGTGCCCCCCCCACAAACCCAGGACCCCTCCAGCAGCCAGGTTCTTAGACAGCCACGCCTTAAACCAGAAAACATCCCTGTCCAGGTCACAGTTATAAGGTCACAGTGTCAGAGGGACACTGGAGAATATCTAGCCCAGTGCTTCCCAAACACGCCTTTGCCCGACAGTTTCCTCAAACACTCTGAGCGTGCTGCTGCCTCGGGGTCTTGGCACTTGCAGCTCCCTCTTTCTAGAATGCTCTTTATTGATACATTTGTAAGGCTGTTGGCTCACTTCATTTGTATCTTTGATCAAAGGTCACCCTACTAAAGTAGGACCCTCTCCCATCAGTTTCTGTCCCCTGCAGTATCTACCTTCACAGTATCCATTGTTACCTAACACACTGACTTGTTTATATATTGTCTGCTCCCCCATGAGAGCGGGGGCTTTGCCTCTGTTGTAGAAAAGTGCTCACAACAGTGTCCAGCAAGCACTCAATAAATATTTGATGAGTACACAAGTGAATAAATGAATGAATTTGAGTATCATCCTCACAATTTTGCCAAATTTTTGTTCCACGTATACCACTGTTTTTCCTTAAATTTATTTGCTCATTTTTACTTGTATAAAATGGAAAAAGTTATTATTGCTTTCCATAAAAGCGTTATTCAATTCTCACTGGACACTGTTGCCAGATGAAGAATCTGGGCCCGAGGCTGATTTACGCCAGTGGAGTGGGTTGCGGAGCACACATTCCAGGCAGGGGGCGAGTGGCACCGAGCCAGCCAGGGCCAGGCAGCGGGCGGCTCCTGGTGGAGTCTCTCAGATACCACTTCCCTGGGATGGACATTTGTTCTCGAATGAGAACATGGCCCAATTTTCCTGGCTGTTTGGTTCCTGTTTAACGCACTTCTCTAAGCCCTCATTTTCTGGGGACACGCCTGCCAGGCTCTGTGTGGTCTGTCCCCCACGGCACCTCCAAATCCCGGGTTCACAGCCTGTCTGCCAGGGGGGCCTATAATGGACCCCTTAGGGAGCTAGCCTGGCCTCCATGGGGCAGCGGCTGGTGACCAGAGGGCACTTGCGAGGGCACAGCCCCATTTGCTGAGCTCCGTGGTAGACACCGCTTGGTGTTGCAGACAGGGAGGTGGCCAATGTCCCCAAATGTCCCAGCTGTCCCCAGGATTGTTTTCATTTCCATGGTCAGGAATCCAGCATGCCTGGCCACTCTAGGAAGGCTTCCTCACATCCTGGCTCTGGATCTTCCCTTCCTGGAACCTACTGCATTCCCCTAGCAGATCTCATCCAGGCTACACAGATGCAGTGGGCGGATGGTCCCATGTGGGCAGGGGAGGCCCCTCAGCATCCCTCCTCCCACTGCTTGCAGTGAGAGGCCATGCCATTCCCCTGAGACTGTGGGAATTAATAAAAGAAACCTGGACTAAACTGGAGTCAAGGAGGCCTGTAGGGGGAGCTCTCTCACCCTATCATACATCTTCAATTACTCTAAACAGGAAGAGAGGTAAGCTTACATCTCAGGCCGGAAGTGCAACTACTTTACTACTAAAGGAAGATTTCTCTCCCCTCCTGGCAACAGCCCAGCCAATGAGAAGCACCGCAGCTCAGCCAATGAGAAGTCGTCACCACCCTGAACTGTTAGTTTACTCCCACGGACTTTCCATTAGAACAATCCCTCCCAACTCCCCTTTTGCTCCATAAAAGCAAGCTCTTTCCTTTGCCTTCTGAATTTGCCTATGGTTTGCCATAGCATGCACGTCCCAAATTGCAATTCTTTGTTGATCCCGAATAAACTCATTTTTGCTAGAGAAATAACTGGCTGTTTGTTTAAGGTCAGTATGACAAACCCAGGCTCGGGAGCCTGGTGTCTGTGGGTTCAAATTCAGACTCTGCCACTTCCTGACTATGTGACCTTGGGCAAGTTGTTTATGTTTGCCTCAGTTTCTTCATCTGTAAAATGAGGACAGTACTAGGATATCTTTCTATAGGATTGCTGTGATTTAAATGAATTCATACATGAAAAAGGCTTTGAACAGTGCTAGGCACATAGTAAATCCTATGTAAGTATGTGAGACAGACAGATAGATATGGCAAACCACGCAGGGCACCTGGTGAACCCAGTAATCGAGTTAGTACTGAGCTACCTACTAGACTTGTACTTCTAATCACCCAAACTTAAGCTTAGAAGAGAAGAAAATGCTCTTTGCCTGAAGGGATAATGAACACAAGACCATCTTTTGTTGTTTACTAAGTGCACACAGGGTCCCAAG